CCGCCCCGCCAATCAACCGTAAGCCCCGTCGTCCACCAAAGCGGCGTGTCTCCGGCGGTATTACAGCGCATGCGCTTGGCTGAGCAGCGTGTGAGGAGCGCGTCCGTGCGCCGCCATTTTGGCAGTGTGAGGTGAGCAGCGTTTGCCGGTGTTTGGTTGTTGAGCTCCGTGTCGGGGCGGTGCGAAGTGATCGTGTTCTGGCGGTTTTCACGCGTCGCTTTCGCGCTGTAAGTGGTAAGGAAGATGCAGCCTGCTGGCAGTCTTCGCTGTCGGGTCTCGCCTGGCGGTGGCAGCGTCAGCCCGGCGGTCCGCGCGTGTTCTGTGCTCCGCTCCCCTCAGGCGGGCGCTGCCCGGGGCGTCAGACAGCTCGGGTCAGGGCAGCTGCCTCGGGGAGCGGCGCAAGCACCGTAAGCAGTCGGTTGTGCCCCCTATTTGGTTGTATTTAAAAGCCCTTTTATTATGCTGTAAGTTTTTTTGTATGGTGGCAGTGCATGATATAAATTTTGATGGCAGAAATGTTGCAAACAAAAATAAATGTCTGACCGGTCCTGCTTTGAAAGTAGGTGGTAGATTGTAGTGTTCATCTGACGGGTGTGTTTATTTGAAATGCAGTGATGAAAGAGTGGTCTTACCGTGGTTTTAGGAAAGTAGATTCAGTTTGGTAATTTTGTTCTTTTGAAGTCCTAACATTGTAATTAAATTGGGTGTGAGGAATTCTTCCAGGGTGTGTTTGTTGGGCAGGAGGAGGATTTAGGGTAGATGTGGTGCTTAGGGACATGGTTTAGTGAGTTAGGTGGTGTGGGTTGACGGTTGGACTTGATGATCCTTGAGGTCTTTTCCAACCTTAATGATTCTATGGTACAAGAGTTTAGTTTATGAATATTTTTCTAATGATTTTTCTATTATCTTTCCTTGTAGAGAGATAAGGAGTTGTTAATAAGAGGGCTGAGGTTTCTAAAGGGGTCTTGTGAGTGAATAAGTCCTAACTGGTATATAGGTGAGTGAAAAGCAAAATGTCATTTTGTAAACTAGAAATATGTGATGCTGTTATTTGGGCTGTGACAGTGGGCAAGCAAATGTTGAGGCACAAATTGTTTTCATTTGTTGTGTGTTTCTCTACCCAGGGGTTTGTTTCAATGAAACAAACAAAAGTGCCCAAAACATAAGTGGTGCACCTGTGAAAGTTAGATGCTCTCTGATGATCAGGTGTTTCTTTCAGGTGGACAGAGCCCTTTCCTGAGGTTGTTTTCTTTCATTGAAACACTCCAGAATTTAGCTTTCAGTTCTCCCTGTAATAAAATAGAAAAACAGGGAAGGTTGTTCAAGAATGTATTTGTCAGATCTGGATTTGGTTCTGCTTTTACTGGGAGTTTTTTTTGGGTGGCTGGCAGTTTGGTTTTGGTATTTTTGTGGGTTTTTTTTTTTTTTTTTTGGTTTGGGTTTTTTGGTGGTTTGTGGGTTGTTTTTTTTTTATTATTATTATGTATCCTTCCTCCTCCTGCAGGAGATGTTCTGGTAGGCTTTACAGTAGGAACACTCTTATTTATTAATTTTTTTTTTTTTTTTTTGTGGAATAGGAATGATAGGGATCAGTATTTATTCTGAAAATAGATTGCATGATCACTAGCTGTTTCATGTATGCTTGTGATAAAAACTATCATGGTAGTTACGATGAAGATTTTTTTGTAGGCTGAAGAGGATCTTGTTCTAGTAACTTTTACTTGAAACTGTAAGTTTCACTTTCAGCTTTACATAAAAATGTATAAATCAAGCATATGCTTTATCCAGTCTATCCTTGTGTGTTTATCTGCTGTCTTTCCATTTGACAGATGTTGCCTACCCCTGGTTACTCAGTTAGAACAGCAGTTTACTTAACAGAATTGTTTGATTAAATTATGGGCATGCACAGCCTTTTTAAATAATGTGAAATCACAGATCCACTTACAGATTTGAATGGAACTGTAAGCTGATCTTGAAGAGCAGGTTATAGATGAAGGTCAGAGAAGTAAGTATGTGAAGGGTTTGAAGATACTTGAACTGTCAGAAGCAGAGCATTGAGACAGTACAAAACACACTTGGAACAATTGTTGATTGATGCGTTGGGCAGAAATATTGGACACAGATAATGTGTTCTGTATGGCCTTGCAATTATGAAAACTTAAAATATGCTACAGCTATACCTGATAGTGTATAGACAGCCAGATTAAACAGTAAAGCACAGAGCTATAAGATGTCATTGACTTGAATAAGTGATTTACACAGAAAGAGTGAGTAGAGTAGGAATCGTTGGTAATTCACATATTAAAAAGAAAGAGAGAAACAGACTGGAAATATTTTTGCAAGTAAATAGTCCTTATAACTGCAAGTTCAGTGGATTGGATCTCCTTTGGAGAGATTTGCAGTTGAATTTATTGGGTGTAAGTAACATTTGTGAAATGAGCAGAGAATATATAATTGAGATTAATTGCTTTCCACTCTTTTGTTTTCTTTGAGCAGAAGTACTTTTATTTGACTTTCTGGTAGTCTTGTCCTGTCCTATTCCATGTCCCATGTCCCTGCATGTCTGCATTGTCATGTGTTTCCTCCCCCCCCCAACTTTCTGATATAATCTTTAATTCTCTGTGTTATTCAGGGAACCGCTTTCTGATTAACAGTTATTCTCAAGTGATAAAATTAGTCTAGCCACAAGAGCAAGTCCAGAGGTACTTTTTTTTTCAGATGTTATCCAAGCATGTCTTTACAAAGATAATGGTGTCTAGTGTATCCCAGTTGCATAAAACATTACATTGTTAAATGTTTAGTATACATTTTAAGCAGAAGTGTAATAATATGCTATTAAAGCATTTTGAAAATAAATTTCATGTACGGAATTAGTTGACCAAGAAAAAAATATGGAAAATTATCAGGCTGATGTTACTCCTTTTCTTTGCAGACAGAATGGGATCTCTGACTCCCTCAGCAAACGTAGCAGATATGAATCTGAAGATAACTCATATAGAATGCCATCGCGAAAGCTTGGTTATAATGTTCCAGGGTCAATACAAGGCAGGATGTGAGCTTGACTATTACATACTACAAAATGAAATACAACGTGTATCTAAAGTAAAAGACAATGTTTATGTTGGTGGATCTTGTTTGGTGGAAGACACAGAAGGAAAATGGCACAGAGGAAGAGTTCTGGAAAAGAGGGAGAATATCTGTGAGGCTTTTCTTATAGATACTGGTCAAGTTCTAGTGGTTGAGGAAACACATCTTGCTTCTGCTTGTGATGAATTTTTTCAGCTGCCTCCAAAGGTGGTTTTGGGTGTTTTTGCAAGCATACTTCCTCTTGGAGAAAAATGGGATCCAAAAGCCATTAACTATTTTTCATCTCTGGTAGGATTGCAGATTGCAGGTCATGTGAAAGCTGTTTTGCCGTACCAACTGTTTATTCTACAAGTGCCAAAGGTCATTGATGATGTTCTTGAACTGAAGTTGGGAAAATTTATTGATGGAGATTCATTTTGTCTTATTGTGGAAATGTTAAGAGCCTTTCCCAAAGAAATGCTTTGTAAGAGAGTGCCACAATTGTTGCAACAGAGATATTCATTCAAGCAGTTGCTTACTTTCATCAATTCTGAGAAACGAACAGATTTTTGGCCAGATCCAGGTGATCTCTTTCCACGTCTGCCTGTTGGCAGTAAAGAAAATGTAAAAATAACTGTTGCAGTAAGCCCGAATAAATTTTACTGTCAGATACAGAAATGGCAGAAAGAGCTGGAAGATTTGACAGGAGCTATGCATTTGTACTATGAAGCTATTAGTACAGAAAATAATAAATCTTTTGATAGTTTAGGGCTACTCTGTGCTGCCAAAAGGCAAAATGGACAGTGGCATAGAGGAGTGATAAAACAGCTTCTCTCTGACCATGTGGAAGTCTGGTTTATGGATTTTGGTGATATTGAAGCTGTGCCGTCTAGTTGCGTTCAGAAACTGAAAGTAGAGTTCATGGCATTACCAGTTATTTCATTTCCGTGTGCGCTGTCTTGTCTTGGTAGTCAGGATGAAACAGTAATAAAAATTCAGCTGAAAGAACTTATACGGGCCTTGATAGGACAAACTTCTGTGTGTGTCTGTGTTGATTTATTCAATGACAGTAAATACTTGTATTACGTTACACTGCAAAATCAAAATATTGAAATTCATGCTAAGCATCCAGAAAACCTGAATGAGGCAGCTGCATCATGTGTCTCGCTTTCGGAAACAAAAATCACAAGTGTTGCTGTAAACTACAAACCATGTCATGAGAGATACAATTCATTTAAGAATTGTACTGTAAATAAACATACAAAAAACTGCTTACCTGAATGGGATATTTCTTTGCCAAGCCACTGCAAGAAAACAGAAATGCAAGTGAATTCTTTCCATACTGCTTTAGTAGTATATGTCATAAATCCATCTAACTTCTGGATTCAAACATGTGAATATGAGAATGAATTTCAAGCCTTGATGAAAAATATTGCAGCTGCATATGACCGATGTGGAGCTGATGAAATGGTCCTTAAAAACCCGGAACCTGGATTGCTGTGCTGTGCCCGGTATAGCAAAGACATGCTTTTTTATCGTGGTGTTGTCATTGAAGTGCTTTGTGGAAATATAACAGTTTATTTTTTGGACTTTGGAAATACAGATACAGTACCCTGTTGTGATGTGAAAACATTGCTTCCTGAGTTTTCTGATTTACCAGCTTTAGCTATGTGTTGTGCCCTTGCTTGTACGTTTTCTGTTGATGATATGTGGGTTAAAAATGAAATTGATTTTTTTAAAGGCATTGTGTTTAACAGACCGCTCCTGCTTCATGTCATTGGAAAGCAAAACAAGAAGTATATTGTTAATGCACAGTATAAGAATGGTTTGCAGCAACAAAATGTTGCCACATGTATGGTTCAAGCTGGGTATGCACAATATTGGGAAAAGCCACCAGATTCTGTTCTAAATTTAGCAAAAAAAAGTCAAGCATGGAATCCCCACAAATTAAAAAAAAAAGTAAATGCACAGAGCAAATGTAATATTAATAAAAATAAGGTATCTGGAAATGGAGAGAGATTTCAGAATGAAAAATCATTAAGTGTGCCTTCAGTGCTGAGAGACTCTGCTATGCTGTCCTGTTTTAGAAAAGGTGCTATCTCTGAAAGGTCTAAACCGGTATGTGAGAAGAAAATATTTTATAAAGAGTTTGTGTTTAAACCAGGAGCTGTTTTTGAAGTGGTGTGTTCTTCCTTTGTTTCCCCAGCAGATTTTTCATGTCAGTTGCAAAGTAAACTGCCAGAGTTAAATACCTTAATGGAACAAATTCAGAATTACTATAAAGAACATACCAATCCTTACAAAACTGGACAGGTTGCCTGTGTTGTTAAATGTCCCAAAGATGGGAAGTGGTACAGAGCAACTGTTGTGCAGCAAGTATCCACAAACGAAGTTGATGTGGTTTTTGTAGACTATGGTTATCGGGAAAGAGGTTTACTTAAAGATCTTCAAGCTGTTCTTCCAGATTTCCTAACTCTGGAAAGTCAGGCATTTAGATGTGGACTTAAAAATGTACCCTTACAGACTGACTCACTTAATTGGTCTGAAGAAGTGCATAGACATTTTGAAGACTTCATTTCTGCTTCTAGAGGACCACTGACTTGTATCATTTATGCTCTTGTTCTTGTAAGCCCCCACTGTTTATGCAATATAGTTGACTTACAGACTCCATTTTCTACTGCAGAGGAATTCCTCAGAGAACATGGTCTCACTCAGCCTGAATATATTGGTCTGAGAAACCTTGCATCTCTGGGTTCTCTGTATAGTTTTTGCTACTCATCTTTTAATATAAAAGTTGGAAGTGAGGAGGAGGTTTATATAACTCATATACGTAGTCCTTCAAAATTCTATTGTCAGCTCAATCGAAACACTGAAACTATAGAGGCATTGATGAAGGAGGTTAGTGTCTTAAGTACAATGTCAAATAAAGCAAAATACAATGCTAGCACTACACGACTATGTATAGCCAGGTATTTTGAAGATGGTCTCTTTTATAGAGCTTTGGCTTTTCCTGTGGAATCGACATCCTATGTATGTGCTGACTTTGTGGATTTTGGAAATATGAGTATGGTAGAGAGAGGCCAATTGATACCTATTCCAGACTCCGCCACTGACCTAATATTCACACCCATGCAAGCTATTAAGTGTTACCTGTCAGATCTTAGGGAGAGAAAAATTCCAGCACAAGTTACTAGATGGTTTGAGGAGACATTCCTTGGTAAACTGCTGAAGGCTGTAATTGTATCCAGAGAATCAAACGGACAGATTGTTACGGAGTTGTATGATGGACAGCTCAAAGTAAGTCAGAAAGTTAAAGAAAAAATATTGGAAGAATTGACACTGAAAAATTACATGGAACAATTTGTTAGAAGTAATGGAGGAGTGATATGCCACATGGAAGATGAGAAAGAAATTAAAAAAGTAACAGTTAAAAATCGTAAAAGGGTTCAGTTGAAAACTGAGGTGAAGTGCCAAGTAGGTAAGTCTTGTCAGACAAATATTGGACAGAATTTTGGAGGTGAAGAGGAAACTGCATGTAGCACACAAAAGGTGGGTAGTGGGTCCTCAAAACCACTAACTTTACAGGACAGTCAAGAACCAGGTTTTAGAAATACTGTCAGAGCTGTTCCAGAGCACAGAGATGAACCTCTGGTTGGAGAGCCTGCCTGTCTCTCACTCTGTCATCCTGCCTTAAATTCAGAGGAAATATCTGTAAATGTTCTCCCTGAATCTCATAATGAAAGACTAAATTGTACAGCGCAGCAGGAAAGGAGTAATGAAAATATTCCTAAATTAATTAGTCTTCCTCAACGTGATATTCAGGTGAATTCTGAAGTAGCGGGATATATTTCTCATATGAATAGTCTATCAAGTTTCTATGTTCAGCTTGCAGAGGATACAAACTCAATAATAAAACTAGAAAAAGAATTAAATGAAAGCATGGTGAATATAGGTCATGAAAATTGCTTACATGAGCTCATGGTGGGGGATCTCATTGTAGCAGAGGATAGCATTGATTGTTTTTACTATAGAGCAGTTATTAAGGCTCTGAAGTCAGAAAACTCCTTTGAGGTAGAGTTCATTGACTATGGTAATGTAGCAGTTGTAAGTCTTTCAAAAATCTGCAGCATTCAGAAAAAGTTCTTAATTTTGCCGAGGCTCAGTGTTCATTGTTTCCTTAGCAGAGTAAAAAGCATTCCTGATGACAGCAGGCTTAATAGAAATACTTCCTATTTTCTAAGCAAAATAAATAACAAGCCATTTGCTTGCAAGTTCTTAAAGCAACATGGAGAGCGATGGGAAATAGATGTAATTTGTGATGGAAAATCTATGTCTGATCACTTTCTGCCAAAAAAAGGCAGGAGGAGGTGGCAAAACACATCAAGGCATAATCGTGAAAATAGACCAAAACAAATTCTGGTTCCAAATGGTAATCCTCAAAATAGAAAGTCTGGGAATGGTTTAGGTAGTCAAAGTAAAACTAAGGCTGTTAGGATGAAAAATACTTCCAAAACACTACTAAATGTCCTTCCTCAAGATGTAAATTCTGGACAGGTAGAAAGAGCAAAAGTAGTTAATATTTCAGAGAGTGGAGAATTTCATGTACAATTATGTAGAAATTTGCAAATATTACATGAGTTAAATGTAATGCTTGTCAAAGAAGCACAAAGAGGTGATTTCCTTAGAGTGGATGACATTGAAGAAGGGCTCGAATGCATGGCAAAATTGGAAAGGAACTCGAAGTGGTATCGATCAAAAGTGATAAAGAAATTTGTCAGGGAGAAGTTAATGCTGGTCTTTTTCATGGATTATGGCACGTGTGAGATGGTGTCCTTAAATTATGCGAAGATGCTCAGTGACAAGATTAAAAGGGTTCCTAAACAAGCTGTGTTTTGTAAATGGGTTTGGTTTAAAAAACTGAAGAAAATGGAGTTTGTCCATGTAGTAAATGCACTCCTGGATTGTGGAATAATGATCTTGTTTTTGAGATATTTGGAATCCTCTCATATCTGGGAAGTAGATATTTTAGTAGAGGAAATTCTGCTTCAGGAGTATTTGAATCAGCTCTTAAGTCATTGCCAGACTGTTGTTGGACCAGAAAAATCTGGTAATACAGATGGTGAGGAGTTTGATAAATCATTCAAGATAAATTCCATCACATGGACACTGCTGCAGACTGGCAGAAAGTGTCCTGGGTTTGCAACTGTAGTTACTGATCCTTCAAACTTCTGCATCCAGTTTGAAGTCTTACTTGATTGCATGAATAACTTGTCTTTGCTGTTTTCTGACCTTCCTGACAACTTGCCAGCTTTGCCAAAAGAACTTGTGGCTCCTGGTACAAGCTGCTTGATCAAGTTTGGACTGGAAGCAGAGTGGAACAGGGCAGAAATTAGTCAAGTAACGAGTCAGTTTGTTGTTCTTACGTTTATTGATTATGGCTTTCTGAAGAACATCCCTTACTCTGATATCCATAAACTTAAAGTTATTCCAGAAAGTCTGTCTGTCTTGCCACGCTTGGCACAGTCTTGCTCTTTACATGATATAGTTCCTGCCAAGGGGAAATGCTGGAGTGATAAAGCTAAACTTCTGTTTCAGAAGCTTCTTAGTAAACCAGGTTTGATATTTCACTTTAAACACTATGGCTCTGAAATGAAATTAGAGGTGGATGTTCTGTGTGAGCAGAATAATGTAGCTCATGCCTTAATTGCTGCTGGCCATGCAGTCTTTTCTGGAAATAAGTGCTGTGTGGTTCCAGCTGACAGAATTAAATCAGAAGAAAAAGATTTGCAGCCTAAGTGTCCAGATTCTAGTTAGTGTGCTTCTTTTTGAGAACCAGATTATAATTATGAAAACTCTTATTTTGCTACTGGAAATAAAGAAGTGAAACAAAGTATTGGAAGCATAGGAGCACTTGTGATAAAGTTTCAATTAAGGAAGTCTGGTAAAGTGGGTGCTAGGGTATCATTAACAAAGGATCTAGGTCGATACAACACTGAAAAAACCTCTGAAAGATGGACAATACTGTGAAGTTGTTTTTTCAGCATTGTGATGACAAAAGAAGTAAAATTGACTTCATACAGACTAAATATGCTACCAGAAGCACTGGTTGAGACTTACGATTCTGATGTTCCACAGTCTAGAAAGGCAGGTGAAGATCACATCAGAAGAATTGTTTGAGTAGTAAGTAGACTGCACTTACGAAAGTACTTCTTTATAGCATTTAAAAAAAAAATAATGCTCTCAGTATATTTTTTCCCTCCAAAATTTCTTGTTGTATTTATTTAGCTAATGTTTTTTGCAAACCTTTCTGTCAGAATGCTTTTTACACTGTGTGTGTATTTTTATATATATATACATATATAAAAAACTTTATTTGCAGTAACATCTGGTTTACAGTAGTGTTATCTCCTTGTTCTGGATGCTCAGAAAACAAAGATGCCAAGCATATGCTTCTCTTTGTTTCTAATTACGAAGTTCCTGTGTGAGTAACTTTTCTCTTCTTAGGAGATAGTTTGCCAACACTAAGCCAAAAACTTGGATCCCCATTTATGGGAGAGGCACCCTTTCAGTTATTTTCAGTTAACTCTTGGTTTAAAGATGCAGCTGACCTGTCTTCATGGTTCTCTTTCGACAGTGTCTGTTGCATCGCAGTTGGAGTGCTTCTTTCTGCTGAGTGTGCTTGTTTAGCTGGTCTCTCTCCTCCTTCCTCCCTACTTATCTGTCAAAATGGAGACAGGAAGTTTTCTCTGTGGACTCAGTCTGTCTGTATCTTGAAGGGAAACATTCAGAACCTTTTTCCTTCTTTGTGGGAGGGGGAAATTTCAGGAGAACTGAGAAGTGATGATATGGTGTATGTGTCTTAGAGATTTATTTTTTTTTCCCAGTAACCATCCTAAAATAATGAGAATGTGTCAGGTGTTCTCTGACTTTTTTTTTTTTTTTAATTTTATTTATTCCTTGCCCTTCTTAATTGTTTGGACAAAGATAAAGGCTGAAGAGGCCTGAAGTATGAGGCAGTTTTTTTGTGCACTCTTGTGAGTGTTTGAATTTAAATTAAAAATCCCTAATGATAGACAAGAGACCTAATGCAACTCTGTACTCAATTAAGGTATAGGAACGCTCCTGACCCCAGAGATCATGATGTAATTCCTGTGAAAACCTGAAAGCTTTATCTGGTAAACAGTGGGTTTTTTCGATTTTGTTCTGTTTTGTTTTTAAAGGAGAGACATGTCCAGCAAATTAGAATGAATAAGATATAAGATACTGCCAGCTGATTTTGCAGTTTACTCTGCTGGTGAGTTATTAAAAAAAATGTGGAAATACTTTCAGTATACAAGTGAAAGATGCCCATTAGTAACAAATCAGAAAATACATAAGGTGAAATTTCTAACGTAAATACTTGCTAAAGTATCAGATGTGTTATTTTAATGTATTGCTTAAATAGAGAGGTTTTTTGGTAACCATTTGTTATTGTGATCTGTTTATATGGTACCATTTTATGATATTATTGCAGAATTTGGAGTTTTTCAAAATTAAAATAATAAGCTGACCTGGCACTTTCTTTGTCAATAGTTTGACATACTGTTTGCTCTTATGATAATATAAGAAAGTTGTATTGTGCAACATTACTGGTGTGGAATCATAACTTTACATTTACTTCACTGGGCTGTGTCCATTGTAAAGCCAAGTAATACTTAGTGCCTCTGCATGAAAATTTAGGCGTTAATTAACTCTGATTCTAACTTATGGCTATCATTCACTTGGAACAATAGGTGCTTGGGTGTCTTTTTAAAGATCTTATGGATACGTTAAATGCTAGTCCTGTTGGTGTAGTGTTAATATACAATTTGCATATTTTAGGTTAGATTTTTTGCTGATGTAGAGGCTGTTGCGTTTCAACTTGTGTGTAGTGGTAGAAGGCTGCTTACTTAGTGTTACAAAATGGAGCCTGGAAATGGCTGATGATTAAACAGCTGTGTGTGTGCTATTTTCATGTTCTGTAAATTGTAAATGTTACATTTATTTGCAAAAATGTATGTTTTTAGTTTCAACTCATTATGAGTTTAGCTTGTGATAGTAATTCTTTTTCTGAGGGTCTGATACCAAGAGTGCTTAAGGTAAAAATTAGATAATTGAGAGTATTTTCAGGATTATGCTGCACTTGTAAATATAAAGAAGGTCTTTTGTTGCCATTGTTGATATGGATTTTCAGGAGTTCATTGTAAAGTTATGTCATGATTGTTAGATGAAGTTGCTGAGATGTCTGGCTGTGGATTTTATTCCCGGTCTTCTTTCTTTGCTGTGTACTTCCCCTGCCCCCAACGTCGGTTGTAACAGCGCTTTTCTTGTTAGTAGGAGAGGCTGTGCTTGTAATCTAGTTGAAAGAAATGATGATTTATTTAGGATTTGGAAGTTTAAGGATATTCTATTTATTTTTTGGGCTAGTGTAACTGAGAAAAACGCTACTTTGATTTGGTAAAATTTAATTGGAAACTACTGTTTATCATTTGGTTGTATTTCCTAAATATATTTCTGTGTTTGTTTATACTATGCCATTGATTACTTTGATTATTTTTAATTTTTATCCATGAAAGTGGTAGAGAACCGATTGCATTTGCTTGGAATTAAAAATGTTCCCATGTATACTGATGTGTTCAGTAGTCTGCCTTTTTGTTCTAAATAATAAAATGCTTTTGTGTGTAACTTCATTGCCTAAGTAATTCTGAATATTTTGAAGCTTTCTGTGACCTTTTTGGTTGGTGAATGCGTTGAAAAATATGTGAAGGTACATCAGTACGTTCTTTGTGGGATAGTGCCAAGGAGCAATCCTTGCCCTCTAGGCCAGCAGCTGTGGAGTGGATTCAGCTTGTGCTGAAGGTTTGCTTTTGAATGCTGTACAAATGGCACAGACCTTCTGCCTCCTCGCTTGTACAGATTTCTAGATGAGATGCATGCCACGCTCAGCCTTCAGCTGCCTTGTGCTGGCCAGATGTACTCTGTAAAGGCAGCCAGGCCTTACGTACTAGATAGGCATGCTGTTGTAATACTGTTACTCAAAACTTCTCTAGAAAAGGTTTGCATGCAGTTACTTTGAGAAACACTTTCCATTATTTACTTTTAAAGATGTGCATTGCTGAACATTTAAACTGTATTAAAAATATTATTTAGGTGTTTTTCTAATGTTTTGGTGTTTTATAATGTTCCATAAAGCTTGCCTGATATTGGGGGAGGGGGAAGGATGCGTGTGTAATTTTTTCTATTTTGTTTTTCCGTGAGAGCTTTAAGATAGTATAACTGTACAATAAGGTGGCTGAGTTTCAGTAATGTACCATGCAGTGTTACCCCCTAGAAGAAGAGTACCTCTTGCTGATTTTGCTGATCCTTTCTGGGTGATTTAGTAGTAACCCTATAGTATTTCTGGAGAGGAGTGTGTTCAGACCTTAGCCAGCA